CAAGAAGCCAGCACACTTAATTCTTATTGCATTACTATGACAAAAGGGCTGGATCACCTTTGTTTCGTTGCAGTTGAAACCGTAATATCAAGTTCATGTATGGGCCGTATTTGAGCAACCGTGCAAGGATGTCCCTGCTATCATCTAAGGCCAGGCCAATGTCTGGTATAATTGCCCCTGCACGCGTCGCTTTCGGATAAACTTGTCTGTCCGTAAAATGGACCTGGTCGCCTATCACGTTCACTTAGCTAATATCCTGCTTGTGCATCATTGAAACTTTGCTTCTGTCATGCCCAGCTCCTCAGTAGTAGGTTGCATGAATAGTACCCGCAGAAGAGCCATCAGCCAGACTCTGCATAGTGTCCTGTGCATTTCGTGTTCCGACAAATGGACTCAACTTGTTGCGCGCAGTGCGGCGCGGAGCGAGATAGCTTCTGATGAAGCCCTGGGCAGGCCTGGGAACTGCGCAACACTATCAGAACAAAGTTCCCTGCTTACAGTCGGCGTGCCGTGGTGGCAGTGTAGAAAGCGACCGCACTTCAAGTAGTAGAGAAGATTACATTCCTTCGGCCAGCCAGCGCTACCGTTTCTGCAAAAAAATGCGAATGGTCCGATGCCGCCCGAGCACCACCGGCTTGTGTCTTCTTCTCTGCCTCATATTCACGGATGATTGTGTCATCGCTTACATCGGCTGCTGTTTGCAGTGTCCGTCCAACTCGCATTCCAATTTCAGAGCGAAAGTCTCCAGGGGCGTTGGTCGTTTTGTCGAGGCGGTCTCCAAGGGGGTTGGTCGTGTTGTCGAGGTGGCGCCATGTCGCCGCTTGTCACCGTCGTCAGGCTCTGACTGGTGAATATGCAACACAGGGTCCTGCAGTGACAAGTGGACGATCTTGAGTTCCTATTTCCTAAAAAAAACCCTGCCTTTCAAGCCGTGCTCATGGTCACGAGTAGTTTGGTTGGGTATAAAATCAGACCACAAAAATTACCTATCCACATGACCTTCCGAAGGCGAGGCGGAAACGTACCTCGGCATGTCGGAGCGAGTTCCAGCCGGCCTTGACGTTCTTTTGCAAACGGCAGCAAAATGTCGTATTCCAGTGGTTGGTGAGCGGTGAAGCTACGTGACTGATATATCTTCTTGGCACTTCTGACTTCTAGAGTACTCGACATTTCATCATTGACTCGGAATTCCGTTCCTTGTGTACTTGTGTAACCCGTTATTTTACTATGCCATCCTTCTCCGTACGGGGCTGGGAAGATGTCACGTGTCACCAAAGCCGCGATGATTTAAAAAATGAACGAAACATCGAGTGAATTATTTCGCCAGTGTCCTTACACGATCATTTCTCAGCAATCAGAACTGTTTGCTTATTTCGTGAGCTAAACTTATTTTCCTCCGACTCCGACCCAGCGTCTGCGAAAATAGAGCTCTTGGCGTTCTTGTGCTTTGTTTGCAAGAAAGGCGAGAGCAGTTGCATTTGGCGCCGGGAAGCCTGCCGTTGGCCTACTGGTGCGCCGCCGGTGGGATGTGGTGACGGGACGTGTGAGGCAGAGCGACCCGTCGCCTGCGCCGGGGCCGCCGCCGCCACTCCGCTGGTACGCCGCCGCCACTCTGCTAGTGCGCCGCCGCCGCTCTCGGTCGGACCCCGCCGCTAATTACCTCGCGCGGGGCTGAGCCCGATCCGGCCGGCGGTCATTCCGCGCCGACGGAGCCGTTTTTACGGCCTAGTGAGGACGCCGCCGTGCCGTTATTGGGCTGGTTGGTGTCTTTTTTATACGCCACAGCTTGGATATCACGTAGCGCAGCTACTGAAAGTACAGCTCTCAGCAACAGATTACTGTTGGTTGACTCAAATCTCGAGAAAGTTGCTAAGGCTGTTAAAAAACAACGTCATTCATTGCATGTGCACTAGTGATGTCCCACTTCACGTCGTGTTGCCCGCAACAGGCCTTCCCAACAAGGTGTGTGTGTGGGGGGGGGGGAGGGAGGGGGCAACGTGGCACGGACCCGCCGCTGGCGCAGCACTGGGCGGCGACGCGCACCTGCCGCCCAAACAGCCGAGTCAGCGGGCTCCTTCCGATGGGAACTCTTCGGCCGCACGGCGGCTGAGCAACATCACAATCCGACACACGCTTGGCCTGGCGGGCCGTACCGATTCCGTTCTGGTTCTGTCTGTTCCTGGTTCCGTCGTTGCTGGGGGCTCCTCCCCTTCAGCGTCTTGGCCGGCCGCTCCTTCGCTGGATCGAGAATGGGTCCCACAGACGATACCCCACGTGAAAGCGACAGGGGATGCGCCACCGCTGCGTTTGGGCGTCACCATTGCGTGGCGTCTGGTGGCAGCGCACGGCCGTGCCGGTGGCCGGCTGTTGAGTCAGCCACATCCGATGCGCTCCCGGCCCCAGCGTCCGGCCGATGCGGCGACCCTCCTTCCGGCGGTAGTGCAGGTCTTCTGCTCTCTCGCTCGCAGTGGCCGTCGGATGCCGCTTGGCTTCTTGTCAGCTCAGCGCGGCCGTCCCCTCTTGCCCGCATCAGTTCGCAGCCCGTGTGGGTGACTGCCGGGCGCTCAGACCTCGCCGGCCGGCGTCGGGCGGCCGCGGCGCCGGCCGCTCGTTTGTCCGCCATCGGGCCGTGGCGGCGGCGGCGGCGGCGATTGATGGTCGGCGGCCGTGCTGCGCGGACAGCCGACGATTTCCGGCGACGGACGAGCGAGCGGCGCGGGTGGACGAGAGAGGTATAGAGAGAGGTGTCACCGAGGTCCACCGACTGGAGGGGCGCGACGGACGAGCGAGCGGCGCGGGTGGACGAGGGAGGGATAGAGAGAGGTATCACCGAGGTCCACCGGCTGGAGGGGCGCGACGGACGAGCGAGCGGCGCGGGTGGACGAGGAGGGATAGAGAGAGGTGTCACCGAGGTCCACCGACTGGGGGGGGGGGGGGGGGGAGCGACGGACGAGCGAGCGACGCGGGTGGAAGAGGGAGGGATAGAGAGAGGTGTCACCGAGGTCCACCGACTGGAGGGACGCAGCGACCGAGGGGTGTCACCTGTATACGTTGGAAGACCAGGGGTGGAAATCCGCGGCGCCCATCGGATCGGCCAGGAGAGAAGTGTCACCTCTGGCCAGTGGAAATGCCAGAGAGGTGTCTGTCATGCTCAGCTTCCGCCGACCGCACTAGATCCGTGAGAATATAACGGTGGAGGGCAGTCTCCTGAACAGAAACTTATAGATCACCAAATAATGAACGGGGACTTCAGATAGCAGAATAGCTTCGTCACAAGGCTCTGACATTTTGATGGGGAGTGTGGAGTTAACCACGCTTTAGGGCATATGGATAAATATAATATAATTATTCATCGGAATAGAGACGGCGCTGCAAAGCGCATTGGGTGAGATAAGCCGGCTATGTCGCAGAGGTATTTTCAACTTGGAAGATGTGGTTTTGCTTTTATCGTCTGTGCGTGTAAGTGCTGCAGATGCTAGTCGGGGCCCGCTCCGACCGCGAGCGCTCGCCCAGTCTCGGCGGCGGATCTCGGCTGCTGAGAACTGCGGCTGTTGTGGTCGGGTCAGCCCCAAGTTTGTCAGGCCTCCGGAGACGGGCGTGATCGACCCCGCGGGCGAGGCGAGGCAACTCGGGATTAGGGGTCCGCCAGGCTTGGTGGCGTGGTGTCGAGAGGCACAGGCAGGCCGGAAGTGAGACGCTGCTGACGCTGTATGTGCGCCACACCGGACCCGTCTGTCCGCTGGGCTCCCGTGAAGGCGCCCGAAGCAGTCATCCCCGGCGATGGTGACGCAGTCACCCTCGGCGCTGGTGACGCGGTCATCCCCGGCACTGGTGCCGCGGTCATCCCCGGCGCTGGTAGCGCAGTCATCCCGGCGCTGGTAACGCGGTGGACGCAGGCTCGCGCTTCCGCCGCCGTCGCTCCCCCGGCGCCGCTGTGTGGGTGTGCCTGGCCCCGGCGGTCCTCTGATCTGGCCGGCAGGACGCCGCCGGACGTCCGCCGCGGCCCGAGTCTCGTCGGGCGGCGGGCGGCGGTGCTGACCGGCGACTGCCACTCCCTAGGGGGCCGCGGCGGTCGGAGCGGCCGTGTCGCCTGCCGACCAGCCCGGCCGCGGGCTCGGGTCTCCTGGGCTCGTCTGCACGGACGCAGACCTAACGCAGCTGTCAGTGACAATGGACGGGGCGGGTAGAACAGCTTCTCTGAGTGTGGAGCGAAACATACTTGTGGGGCTGGTGTGTGCTCTGCGTCTCCAAAAGCATGCTGGCTGTCTTACACAATGAGCTGCGTCTGTCGTGGGCAGAGTTTGGAAACGACTGCTCCGATGCTGACCCAACATGACGTTGTTCACATTGCGTAGGTACGAATTTATCCGTGGCAGATCCGTCAGAATGGACCATGGTCTTAAGATCGCACCTTTGCGTCAAATGTAATTCAAATTTCGGTAAGTTCGACCTCTAACATTGCGACATTTTGTACCGACACTGATCTCGCGGCGTTCTGGTGACATTTCGCGTGTTCAAATATTCTCCAAATCGTTATCTCAAACATCTGAGTTTGATAGCATTCCTACATTATTAAAGACTAGCCCGAACAAAGCCAAAACTCTTGCGGAGTGGCTCCTCGATTGATGTTTAATCAGCTTGGAGAAAATTCGGTCTATCAATGTCAAAGGTTAGGCTAGGTGAGCTCGTCCGAGATTGGGGCTAGCGTCTGAACGGTTCCGAATTTAAAGTTCCTGGCGTTTCCTATCATGCTCTGAGTCAGTGGGCCTGACGTCTTTAATTCGGCGAATTATTTATGCTGCTAGTTATCCTCATCTCCGTCTGTGCTGCTGGGCACTGAACTCCGACTAACATCACCCTGATCTATGCTGGATTTGGTCGCGAGACGCTACCGTGCCCCGTGGAAGCCATGTTGAAGAGGGCGGACACCTTGGACGAGGGTGCGCCACGTAAACCGCGGGTGATATGACGTCACTTTACGTCACTGCGTTCTGTTGCAGCCATATCGAAGAGCACGGACGCCGTGGACGAGGGCGCGCTCCACGAGAGTGATGACGTCACTGACGGAGCGCGGCTGAGGACGGGCGGCTACTCCGAAGAGTTTCTGGACCGGCTGGAGCCCAACGGCAACATCCCCAAACACGGCTCTCTGCACCTGGGTAGGTGGACGCAAGTGTCGCGTAATTCCCAGCAACGCACGTGGTCATGCTTTGAGCCGGGGAACGTGTGGGATCAAGACGGAGCACTGGCCGTGGAACAGGGCTGTTACACTCGGACCTGGGGCGTTCCCCGCGGCTCCAGCCGCTCGGGGCGGTGAGCGCCTACACTCGGACCAGGGGCGTGCCCCGCGGCTCCGGCCGCTCGGGGCGGTACCAGGGGCGTTCCCCGCGGCTCCAGCCGCTCGGGGCGGTGAGCGCTTACACTCGGACCTGGGGCGTTCCCCGCGGCTCCGGCCGCTCGCGTGGTGAGCGCTTACACTCGCACCAGGGGCGTTCCCCGCGGCTCCGGCCGCTCGCGCGGTGAGCGCGTACACTCGGATCTGGGGCGTTCCCCGCGGCTCCAGCCCCTCGGGACGGTGAGCGCGTACACTCGCACCAGGGGCGTTCCCCGCGGCTCCAGCCGCTCGGGGCGGTGAGCGCTTACACTCGGACCTGGGGCGTTCCCCGCGGCTCCGGCCGCTCGCGTGGTGAGCGCTTACACTCGCACCAGGGGCGTTCCCCGCGGCTCCGGCCGCTCGCGCGGTGAGCGCGTACACTCGGACCTGGGGCGTTACCCGCGGCTCCAGCCGCTCGGGGCGGTGAGCGCGGACCAGGGGCGTGCCCCGCGGCTCCGGCCGCTCGGGGCGGTGAGCGCGTACGCTCGGACCAGGAGCGTTCCCCGCGGCTACGGCCGCTCGGGGCGGTGAGCGCGTACACTCGGACCAGGGGCGTGCCCCGCGGCTCCGGCCGCTCGGGGCGGTGATCACCTACACTCGGACCAGGGGCGTGCCCCGCGGCTCCGGCCGCTCGGGGCGGTGATCACCTACACTTGGACCAGGGGCGTGCCCCGCGGCTCCGGCCGCTCGGGGCGGTGAGCGCGTACACTCGGACCAGGGGCGTTCCCCGCGGCTACGGCCGCTCGGGGCGGTGAGCGCGTACACTCGGACCAGGGGCGTGCCCCGCGGCTCCGGCCGCTCGGGGCGGTGATCACCTACACTCGGACCAGGGGCGTGCCCCGCGGCTCCGGCCGCTCGGGGCGGTGATCACCTACACTTGGACCAGGGGCGTGCCCCGCGGCTCCGGCCGCTCGGGGCGGTGATCGCCTACCGCACTTGGACCAGGGACGCTCGCCCGCAGACTCGGGTGGTCGCGCGAGCCTGCCTCTTGGACAGCCCCGGCGCTCGGCTGGCCGCCCCTCAGCCGCCGCCGCCGTCGCCGACTTGGCCGCTCGCCAGCCCGCCCGGCCGGCACGCCACGTGCACGCACGCACTCATGCGCAGATGGGCGGGCGTGGCGATGGCCGGGCCGTCTGAGGTGGCGCTGACGCGAGACGCCAGCGTCTTATGTCTTTCCGGGCGCCGGCTGCCTCCGACACGACCTTGACAGGCAGTGCCCACACATTGATGCATGTGTTCTGTATTGTTTTTTTTCCGATATTTGGTACATTCTGGCTTTTGATGTAAAATTCGTGGACATTGACGTCGTTAACAAGTGAAGCTTCCGCACGGCTGTTATGGTGGGGAATTCTACGGAACAAACCATGACGCGGGATACTTGTAATGGTAATGTGTACGGTGCGTGTGAGCCTTCGTTGCTGTGGTGATGATGCTTGTATTCCCCAAGGTACTGCAGCCAGTTTATCAATACATGAGGCTGAATGCCATCCCATGGGCATCGCACATATTTTTATGTTGATGCCAAGAGACATGCACATGAATGTAGCCAGGTGGAGTGCTGTTTCCGGTACACTTATTATCATTTGTTACAAAATTTAAGAATTCTTGTGATGACACTGGAACATCAGACAATTTCTGTTGATGTTTGTTGGCCGGCGTGCCTCAGGAAGTGATGAGCAGCTCTTGTAAAAGCCGGGGGGCAGGCAGGCGTACCGGCCATGAGCCCTCTGGTGCTTCAGTGTCGAGCTTCGGCACCGAAAACGGGTTGAGTCCGAAACATCTACCGATCCCCCCTGGTACAGGACAGGGCCTATCTACCGTTCTGTACGGCATATAGGCCAATAGCCATCAGGAGACACCCAAGTTTACTGTAAACCAGCAACCAGGTGGCACTTTGATAACTCAAACAGCCCTCGTGTTTGAGTTCAGCAACGAAACGCAACTTGCAAAACACCCGAGCGCTGATCATCTAACTCGGTTGGTGCTGTTCTGCTGCCACACCCTTCCAGCGCCGGGGTTCGTTACCGGTGCGTCCCTCCCCCTCGCCAGGCGGGTCAGCTAATTACCCTTGATGGGCCCTGGCCGCGGTGGGCCGGGTCCCGACGGCGGCGACGGCGGCCGCGTCGACGTCCATGTATCAAGCCCGAGGACGGGCGTGTGACTGATGCCGGCGGCGATCAATGGAACGGACCGGGCTCGGGCCGCCCCGCCGCCGCCGCCGTCTGCTCTCTGTCCGCGCGCTCGCGCTGTCTCTGGCAGTTTGTCTGGGTCTCGTTTGCAGCCGCTTCTTTGGCATAGTTTTATGGCCTCACGATGTCAGTGGTCGGCGCGCTGTCCGTTTGTCGACGCTGTCCGCCTCTGGCCGGAATTCAGACGCCACGTCCACGTTTCGGCTGCCGTGCCGTTTTGGCGCGTGGAGCTCCGCGTTTTTGAGGCCGGCCTGAAATGTCAGTGCGGGATTTCCACATTGGCACTGCTCGTCCGATGCCTGCTCGCCGTCTCTGTAACTCCGCCAGCACTTGAGAACCCATGCCCGGGTCGCTGTCGGAGCCGGACAGGCTCAGTGTCGCTGTCGGAGCCAGACGGGCTCCGGGTCGCTGTTGCAGCCGGACAGGCTCCGTGTCGCTGTCGGAGCCAGACGGTCTCCTGGTCGCTGTCGGAGCCGGACGGGCTCCGTGTCGCTGTCGGAGCCGGACAGGCCCTGGGTCGCTGTTGGAGTCGGACAGGCTCCGTGTTGCTCTCGGAGCTGGACGGGCTCCGGGTCGCTCTCGGAGCTGGACGGGCTCCGGGTCGCTGTCGGAGCTGGACGGGCCCTGGGTCGCTGTCGGAGCTGGACGGGCTCCGGGTCGCTGTCGTAGCTGGACGGGCCCTGGGTCGCTGTCGGAGCTGGACGGGCTCCGGGTCGCTGTCAGAGTCGGACAGGCTCCGTGTCGCTGTCGGAGCTGGACGGGCTCCGTGTCGCTATTGAAGCCGGACAGGCTCCTGTTCCATCAGTGCCGCGCCGTGCCCGCGGCAGCGGACGATGCCCCCTCAGCTCCCGCTGTCACGCGAGCCGGACCGGCACGTGTCGCTTGGCGGCATTCCCACCGCGTACGTATCTCAGTACTTCCGCCGGTGTCGTGCTGCCAGGCGCGGCGACGGCCGGGCGTGGCGCGCTGCTGACGACCGCGGCGCCGCGGCGCGCGCGACGCAGCGGCGGCGAACTGGGTCAGCGGCAGGCGCCGGCCGGGCGCCACTGGTGCCGCAGAGATAGAGGAGCACCGACCGCCAGCTGGCGGATCCACGCCCGGAATGGATGAGCGGGGATTAGCCGAAGTTACTGGCGACGCAGAGACTGTCTGCCACGCACTCTCGTGCTATTTATTACGTGGCTTTTGATAATACTGTCGGCGATGGCTGGCATGCGGGGGCCGACGGCGCTACTGACGATCGATGGGGAGGGATGATGATGGCCTGATTTGGGCCAGATGTTCAACGACCTAGACCGCCCAATTAAATGGAACTGGGCTAGAAATGGTGCGACGCCCTTGCTACCAGCTCTCATCATGGGTCTGAAATTCGGACCCAGCCACATGATACAGATCAGGCAATTTCGGCGCCCGTCCGGTCTGGGATCTGGCAATTCAGTAATATTATGTGTGTTACATCAATGTTTCTGCTGTACATTCCGCTACGTATGACAGGAAAAGCTGAAAAATGCGCCGTTTTCGGCGCTGCTTCGCGCTTGTTTGCGTGCGTGGTTACGTGTCACAAATATGTTGAGGGCGACGAGTGGAACCGAGCACTCCGGTGGCTCGTCCGTCAGGCGTGAGTCAGGCCGGGTCGATGGTCCTGGCACCACTCCGTGCCGGCGCTGTCTCATGTCTCCTGAGCCGTTGCACGCGCCGGCGCACGCACCAGCGCCGCCGCCCCGCATCGGCGTCAGCCGGCCCGGGGCGCTGACGGCGCCGCCGGCCGGCGCGTGCCCTGGGCCGCGTGGCCGGCCGGCCGGCTCCGCGCTGGGAGTCGGTGGCGGCGCCGGCCGCGACGCCCGACCGCCGCCCCAGTGGATAATTCACGGAGCGCGGCGCTCGACGTCGATTCGTCGACGCTGTCGGCCGGTGGGCAGACTGGTGCGGACGAGGGTCGGACGGCAGCGGCGGCGGCGGCCACCGGACGCTGGGGTCCCGCCACTCTTCGTGTGCCTACTGTGCGCCGAGGTCCCCCGCTCATCGGGGGTCTTCTGTGCGCCGAGGCTCCCCCGCTCATCGGGGACCTACTGTGTGTCAATGTTTTTCGCTCATCGGGGACTTACTGTGCGCCGAGGTCCCCCCCTCATCGGGGGCCTGCTTTGCACCGAGGTCCCCCCGCTCATCGTGGGCCTGCTGTGCGCCGCCTGCCGGCCCGCTGCTGTCTGACAGCCGCGGGCCCGCGATGAGGCGTCCCTCTGGCCAGTGGCCTGTTCTGCGCCGAATGAGCGTCAGAGAATAGCGGAGCAGCAGTACTTAGCATCAATCGCGTCAGACTGCCAGACAGGCCGGTAAAGTTGGAGCATTAGGAACTTGGTGCGGCAGAGTGCCCGAGCAGGACGCCGGGGGATTTTCGTGGGCGTGAAATCCACTCAGAGACCAGCATCAACGTGTCCAAAGCTGTGTTCATTGTCGTGGGTCAACGCGAAAGAAAGGCAAACTGGCACACAAGCCTGTGTTCCGGCGGAGTCGCGTTGTTCTCCTCCGTCCAGTTCTTTTTGTAGCCGCAGTTCGATGTGTTAGGGACTGGGGATGACTTAGTGAATATATATTTTCCATCAACTATCCTAATTTGGGCTTCCGATATCCTTCATGGGCGAATCCTTGGGAGGGTTTTTGGGAGTGATGCCGGCACAAATCACGGGCTCCTCATGGGTGAACCGGACGAATCACGGGCTCCTCACGGGTGAACCGGACGAATCATGGGCTTCACACGGGTGAACCGGACGAATCACGGGCTCCTCATGGGTGAACCGGACAAATCACGGGCTCCCCACGGGTGAACCGGACAAATCATGGGCTCCTCACGGGTGAACCGGACAAATCGCGGGCTCCTCACGGGTGAGCCGGACGAATCACGGGCTTCTCGTGCGTGAACCGGACGAATCACGGGCTCCTCACGGCTGAACCGGATGAATCACGGGCTCCTCACGGGTGAACAGGACGAAACACGGGCTCCTCACGGGTGGACCGGACGAATCACGGGCTCCTCACAGGTGAACTGGACGAATCACGGGCTTCTCACGGGTGAACTGGACGAATTACGGGCTCCTCACGGGGGCTCCTCACGGGTGAACCGGACGAATCACGGGCTCCCCACAGGTTGATGTGACGTTCGCGGCTGTGGACTATGCCCGGCCGATGTTTGGCCGTACCGAGCCATGCCATGGTCTACCCCATCAACGCTGATTACATTTAGGTGATGGGTGATGTGCGTGAGCCGCCAGGGGCACGGAGGAGAGAAGGTTGAATGCTTTGCTGTCAAGATGAAGCAAGCTAAGCGAGTTGTTGGAAAAATGGATTTTTGAACAGGTGTCACCGAAGCTTCCAGTAAATAAATGTGTGCAAGTGACCCACACAAAAAGCTAAGCTGTCTGCACAGGGACAGTGCCGGATAGTTATTTGATGGAGCCTCAACGGGCGTTTCGTTTGAGATGAACCGATGGCAATATGATTATGGCATGGAAGGGTTTTTGGGAGTTTTGCCGGCAGGACAGAAATCTGACGGCCATTTGAGGCTCTGCTGTGATAACATGCCATCATAACAAAGCTTGTTGGCACATGTGTAACAAAACGTGACGGGATGAAATCACGCAACCTGAGAGGTACCAAGCATTGTACTCGGGAAACTAGTGTACATCGGCAGAAAACGTTTGACGGGAGACTGCGTGCCTATCAAATGGAACCCCGCATCAAGCTTTCTGATTCCGTTGCTGCTAGAGTAGCGCAATGACGTGTTCTTACAATTATTTCGATCTTATGCATCAGATAATCAGTCGATGTGCTCTTTTGTCAATGTTTTCATTTCTCCCCCGTAGGCAAGATATTCAGAGTAGTAGATTCCTGTATTCGTCATTGGAACAAAAAGGGCACATGTGTATCTAATACTTGGCACCTGTGGCTGAATCCAGTGTTTTACGTAGCGTATGTTCTAGGTCTGCTAAACATGCGACATCACAATATCTGTCTCATTCTACTTTTTCCCCTGGGTCCGCCATTGGTAACGTTTTGAGAGGCTTTATTTCATCCCAGATGGTACGTGCTCGCCTCCCCTCCCCCCCCCCCCCCCCCCTGGAGACTGCGTGCCTATCAAATGGAACCCCGCATCAAGCTTTCTGATTCCGTTGCTGCTAGAGTAGCGCAATGACGTGTTCTTACAATTATTTCGATCTTATGCATCAGATAATCAGTCGATGTGCTCTTTTGTCAATGTTTTCATTTCTCCCCCGTAGGCAAGATATTCAGAGTAGTAGATTCCTGTATTCGTCATTGGAACAAAAAGGGCACATGTGTATCTAATACTCGGGAAACTAGTGTACATCGGCAGAAAACGTTTGACGGGAGACTGCGTGCCTATCAAATGGAACCCCGCATCAAGCTTTCTGATTCCGTTGCTGCTAGAGTAGCGCAATGACGTGTTCTTACAATTATTTCGATCTTATGCATCAGATAATCAGTCGATGTGCTCTTTTGTCAATGTTTTCATTTCTCCCCCGTAGGCAAGATATTCAGAGTAGTAGATTCCTGTATTCGTCATTGGAACAAAAAGGGCACATGTGTATCTAATACTTGGCACCTGTGGCTGAATCCAGTGTTTTACGTAGCGTATGTTCTAGGTCTGCTAAACATGCGACATCACAATATCTGTCTCATTCTACTTTTTCCCCTGGGTCCGCCATTGGTAACGTTTTGAGAGGCTTTATTTCATCCCAGATGGTACGTGCTCGCCTCCCCCCCCCCCCCCCCCCGGTAGCCAGTTCGGCCCAAGAACAGCATGCAAAACATGATCGGCTCCGTAAATTTTGAGACCTCCGGGCGACTCAAAGCGACCTCACAACCTCAAACGCACTAACGTCGGTCACATTTAAACGTGAAGAGGAATTTGCCGCATGAGCATGGGATCAAAGTGACTACTCCATCCATGGATGCTGTGTGGTCTACTTTGGCCACATGACGACGCCTATGATTGCTTCTGATATTGTTTGGGATTACCTGTCTGGGTTTATCTGATATTGTTGATGATTACTTCTAGTATTGTTAATTATTACTTCTGATATTGTCTGGCGGATACGCCTCCCGGTGTTGCCTGTTCACGAACGTCGGCAGTGACGCTGGGTGAAACTTGCCCCCCCCCCCCCCCCCGGTGTTCGTCTGCTCATGTGCGCCCCGGCTCCCCGCGCTCCGACTGACGCCGCGTCTGTCCATTTGTCTCCGACTGACGCCGCGTCTGTCCGCCTGTCTCCGACTGACGCCGCGTCTGTCCGCCTGTCTCCGCTAACGCCGCGTCTGTCCGCCTGTCTCCGACTGACGCCGTGTCTGTCCGCCTGTCTCCGACTGACGCCGCGACTGTCCGCCTGCCTCCGACTGACTCCGCGTCTGTCCGCCTGTCTCCGCTAACGCCGCGTCTGTCCGCCTGTCTCTGACTGACGCCGCGTCTGTCTGCCTGTCTCCGACTGATGCCACGTCTGTCCATATGTCTCCGACTGACGCCGCGTCTGTCCGCCTGTCTCCGACTGACGCCGAGTCTGTCCGCCTGTCTCCGACTGACGCTGCGCCTCTCCCTGTGCCGCAGGCTGGGAGCGGCTGGTGGACCACGACGTGGTCAGCCGCCAGCTCTCCATCTCGTCCGACAGCAAGCTGCTAGACGATGACGTGCGCGAGGAGGCCAAGGTGGTGATGCGGCCCAAGCGGCCGCCGCGACCCAAGTCCGAGCTCTACCTCTGCAAGGACAGCCGCGCCTCCAAACGCTACTCGGCCTTCGGGGTACGTGCGGGTCCGGCGCCGGCCGCGCCGGCGGCTGGCAGCAGATGTGCTCCGTGCGCGCTGTGGACGTTCAGCCGCGTGTCGCTGTGAAACACCATCAGCTGGCGCAGATATGCAGTTGCTTCAGATGAGCGCAAGGTGACCCGAGCAATCGATACGCCCGCACAACCCAATGGACAACAAACGTAATTTCTGGTCAACTCCGCATTGATGTGCCGCGTCCTAAAAAAAAACGCACGGAGTTTGCCATCTATGTCTACTTGTGGCACATATATATATATATATATATATATACATATATATATATGTATGTATATATATACATATATATATATATATATATATACATACATATATATATGTATGTATATATATACATATATATATATATATATATATATATATATATATATATATATATATATATATATGACATATGCGATCAAGATGTCCATGTCAAGATGCCGCCGCTACATGCATGCCCGTTTCTGAATGTACAGGTTGGTCTGTGGGCGCTGGTACCGTAGGCGCGCCCTCATCCAGTGTGTTTCGCTGTGCCTTACCGCACCTGACGTGTTGTTCGTGCCGTTACAAATGAACTTGCGCGAGTTTGTTTGAAGTAAGCGTCTGCTTTGACAGTCAACTAATTACGGAGCTGCGCTCTGCTATCCGTGGATGTTTCAGCTCATCAGAAGGTTATTTTGGCACATTTGAATTACTGCAGGACGAAGTTTTATGAATGACACACAAAATGGCTCAGTTTATATTCTATAAAGGTTCCGGTTTTACACGTTCGATGACACAATAGCAGTGGGGCTCACTGACTTTATTTGTTCCCGGAGGACCTGATTGCTGAGATGGTTCTCATATCAATGACATTTAACGAAGCTGGCGGGACTCACCACGCGTATTGCGGCATGCGTCGTGGCAGTCAGTCATGTCTCCGGCCTTACGAACAATGATCATTGCTATTCCAGTCGCTCCGATTTTGTTTGTAGGTGCAAAAAGGCCGTTCTGGGCGCACCTTCAGTGACTGATTCGGCCGAGCGCCGCAGTGAGTGCCGGAGATCAGTCCCCGCTCTACGCTCCGTTCGGCCGCCAGTGGAGGTGGTCGGCGGCCGGCAGACTGAATTGCGCCCGTCGAGCGCCTCGTTCCGAGCGCGCGGGTGGTTGCTGCCGGTCGGCGGTGCTTGCCTCGAGCGCAGTCAAAACATCGAGCTGTCAACTCGACTCAGCTGCCGGAGTCACTGGGGCTTACCGCTCTGAAATACGTGTGGCGGGGGCGGGGGAGTGTCGAGCGCTGCGCACGCGCGATAATGGGACCGGCATCGGCTGGCAGCCTCCCGCGAAATGGCCGGCAGCCAGCGCTCTCCGCCGCGGCATGCGCTGAGCCCCGGCCACGGGAGCGTGGTGCCGGTGCGGTACGGCTGCGTGTCAGCCACGTCAATCAGCACCGTAGTTGTTGCTGGTGGTGATCTACAAGGTGGAGACCACTGTCGCCCTTCTGTGACTTCAACACTTGTTGGTGCCTGCGGGACCATAAGCGTGCGGAGAATGAGCCCCACGCAAACGAATGCCGGATGGGCGAGTCTTCCATTAGCGAGCTGAAACCACATGGCCAATGGCTGGTCGTCACGCTCCGCGCTTACTGCTGACACCGGGTGTTCCATGCACTCCTGTTTTGCCTAGCGGTGCAGCTTCGCAGCTTTCTGAGGCGGCGGCCCATTGAGACGGCCCCATGGCGGGGCGTGGAAGTGAGCGCCGCCCGTCATGGGCCCGATGGAGGCCGCGGCGGCTGTTACACCACTTTGGTCCGCTTCCCCGGCTCAGCGCTGACGGAGAATCTCATTTACCACGTGCGTAGCCCGGCAAAATGCATGCATTTCATATGGGCCGGTGATGGATACGCCCCCAGTTATGACACGCGGGATAAGGGCATTTGCATTCGTCGAAGGGTGGGATTCGCGCTGGTGTCGCCTGAGGGCGCCGGCGAAGCGGAAGAGTGGACGTGTGGTGCGGCAGTCCACGCCTCCGCTCGCGCTACTCGCGTGCGGTCTGCTGCCTTCCCGGGCTGGTTTCGCGAGCTCTGATAGGTCCTGTCCTAGCGGCCGCTAGCTCCGAGGTCGGTGTAGAGCAAGCAGGCCGGTCCGGCTGGGCGTCACCCAGTCCGTGGCCGGACGTCGGACGTCGGTCGGCGCGCTCAGAGCCGCGGCCGCCTCTCGTGCCGACCACCTGCCCGGCCTCGACACGACCCTTGCGTGCCCCGCGCCGAACGCACTCCGCTGGGGAGGCCCCGGCGGCTGGCGAGACTGTGAGTTTGGCGCAGAGCCAGCCGCGGGGGCGCCCCCTCTGAGCGCTCGGGGGTGGGCTGGCCGCGCCGGAGGCCGCTCCAGAGCCGCGGCCGGCGCCGCCGCCCCCCGGGGAGTCGGCCCAGACGTCTGGCGCGCCCGGGCCGGCCTCGGGTCAGACGCGTCCCGTCGGGGCTCCGTCGGCCGTTCATCTGCAGTCGGCCGGCCTTCCGCGCGGCCGGCGCGGCGCGAGTTACGGCGGCGCCGGCCGGCCGCGGCCAAGGGCAGATGGAGAGCCGAGCGGTTAGTCCGTTTGCGGCCGCTGGTTGGAGGGCAAACTGATCAAGGTTGATGGCTGCCGGCGCGTTGGGAGGCGTTTTATTGCGCGGGTCGCTGTAGCCCAAAAGTGGTGTCGTAAATAACGCGGGTAGCTGCCGCCCGATCCATGGGTGCTATCATGCCTGACTGACGCCAGTGCTGGCTGCGGGTTTGCCCTCACGACCAGCCACCTCATGTGTTTATAAATGGCTGATGACTGACTAATCTCCCGGAGCCGTTAGCATTTACTCCCCAGTATCCCTGCCTTATGTGGTGGCCCAGAAAAGCGTGGGTTGGCGTGAGAGGTCAGCCAGGAGCGCTGCGGTCACCGTCATAGGTCAGAGGCCACTGACCCGGCCTGACCGGGGCGGACTGCCAGACGCCGCGTCGTTGCCAGCCTATTACCCAGATTAATGCCGCGCGAAACGCCTGTAATAACGCGGCGGGGTGCTCGGTGCGGCAGTGGGGGCGCGATCGTCTGCCCTGCGGGATTGACCCCGTCACACGTCGACGTCAGCACGCGGAGTTCGGCGCGCCGACCGCTGGCGTCCCGCTGCTGGGGTCCTGGCGTGGCGATCAGCTGGCGTCCCGGGCCGAGGGTGCGCGTCGGTGCCGCGACAGGAGCGTCCGCCGCTGAGACGGAGTCGACGGGCCGCTGCGGCTTCCGACCGCCGACCGCCGCTGGCTGGAGCCCCCAACTGACCGGCGGCGGAGCTCGAGCCGGCCGAGACGCGCGGCTCACACAGACGCCAGGAAACTGCCAGCAGTATGGGATTGCGCTCCATTTGTTCTCTTTATTGGGTGGAAGATGGCAATAATTGTTGTTAAATGGTGCCATTAAAAAGCCGACTGCATAAATATGCCGTTTGCCACTAAACGGTCCCAACCGGTTAAGCCGCAAGGAAATTAATCGGATTCCTCAAAAGTTAGTTTCATAGTACACAGTGGTAATAGGTGGACCATTTTTACCTTTGATTGGATTCTTGACGATTTTTTCTCTCGTAAATTAGATTTTATAGCCATTTTGTTAACCGACATTTCCTGTAGTGTTCCATCGAACATGGCGTGGCATTTATCAGTTTGAGGTCATTGAGACGTTTTCGTTCTCTTGTTCCCTTGACATTCAGTAGCAGTTTTGCAAGATACGTAGTGCTCTGCTAGTTCAACAGTTGTTCTGCTAGTTGGGTTTGGGAAAGCAGACGTGCGGGGTTCGATTCCCCGCGGTGCCGGCCCTTACTGGCAGGTTGAGAGGCAGGCGACGCCATATAGCCTTAGCAGCTTAATGCGTCGTAAAACCCCAATTACACTACTAGTTGGGGAATGAGCAACTGAATGTGAACGACAGCTGATGCCAAACGACAGACGGAGAAAGCCTCCTATGCATAGGTGGCGCTACAACAGCCTTCGATGTGTTATCCGTGCTGTCTGGCATCAGGCCTCTCCAGCCTCCATGCCGCCAGCAGCGGCTGGCTTGCGGACCATCGGACCTCTCCGCGTGCGACTGGCTGCCGGCGGGGGCGCTCTGACTCACTCACGGCGGGTCATTCGACCAAACAGCTCGTGAACGGGGCTTTTTGTTGGACTCGCCGCGCGGGAAATGCTCTGCTGGTGGATGCCGCTGCTGCTCTGGCTGCTCTGATGCTGCTCTGGCTGCCCGGATGGAAATAGCAACGGAAATAGACAGAAGGCAATATCTGTTCATGTTTCACGTCACTTTGCGGCTGTTGCACTGTCAAAAGCACACTTGTTCACAACGATGCCACCGGCTAAACGGCGAAATGGTTGATGAAAATGGGAAGCAGTGTTATACATTCTTCCCGCGCAGCCCCATAGGCACACGAATAAATTTTAAGATTAATGAGAAGGAGGCGTCCTTCCCCCCCCCCCCCCCCAATTGCGCTGCCCATACATACAACAGATCTTATGTTCTGTCAGTGAGAAAATGTATGAATATTTGTAAGTCAGTGCCCTGCCGTTACACGAGTGGGTGGTGGTGCCCCACTCTCCTTCCCCTAAACGGCACACGTGATTGGGGCATGTTCGCCAGCATGTATCGAATTTGTTAAGATGTGATCATATTTGCATCCGGCGTTCGGGAAACTGACAAGCAATAAAAAAATCACGTTGGAGACACCGGACTTTGAAATATCTTGCATTTTAGTATGACCCCAGGCGCTCGTAAGCAACGCTGTTGTATACCAGAGTTACGATGTTCCAGTTATGCGTGGCCAAACGCTTTAAGCAGTGTGCACTCGGTTTTTGATGTGGCAATTCAGGAACTCGGTGGAGGGGCTGGTCTGCTGCTTTTCATCCAAATCTTCCTTGCTGATTAAACGTAAATGAAACCTGACTGCATGCTCTAGTGCAGCATATGCCGGTGATGTGTGTGTGTAACGGCATGCTCTGGTGCAGTATGCACCAGTGATGTGTGTGTGTAACGACATGCTCTGGTGCAATATGCGCCAGTAATGTGTGTGTATAAGTGCATGCTCTGGTGCAGTATGCGCCAGTGATGTGTGTGTGTGTTTAAGCGCATGCTCTGGTACAGTATGCGCCAGTGATGTGTGTGTAACTACATGCTCTGGTGCGGTATGCGCCAGTGATGTGTGTGTGTGTGTGTGACTGCATGCTCTGGTGCAGTATGCGCCAGTGATGTGTGTGTGTAACTGCATGCTCTGGTGCGGTATGCGCCAGTGATGTGTGTGTGTGTAACTGCATGCTCTGGTGCAGTATGCGCCAGTGATGTGTGTGTGTGTGTAAGTGCATGCTCTGGTGTAGTATGTGCGCTGGGATGTGTATCATGGAGCGCAGGTACACCCGCTTAGGCTTGAGCGCATCGTGAGAAGCGCGTGACTGCATTGTATGCAGGCCTTGCCAAGTAAGGCAGATCAGGCCTTCGCCATGTCCTGGAATGTCATAAAGCCCTCGCGTTACGGGCGTTGCCGTGAGTCTGTCAAAACATCCTAATTGGAATAATACGGTCGGCATAAAGCCGTCGCTTGCTCATTTTGAGCTGTTCACCTTTGTCATGAGAGTATTGCTGCTAACCGGTCCTCCGCCTGTGAAGGAGAGTTTGGTCATCGCTCCGGGTATCGTTAACCATCAGTTGCAACGGCCGAAGTTAGTAATTTTGTACGGTATGATAAGCGAACCGAGCAGGGAAAAAGCACTTGAACTGCATTTGCTCAAAAGTGCCAGACCTGTGTATCTGCGTGATCTGGCTTGGTTCGCCAGGGTGGCAGCTCTTTTGTACAACGAGAGACTCGGGACAGCGGAAATGTCAGCTGGCCACTCTTGCGTCACTCGCTCTTCAAACCGGAGGTCACAGAAGTTAAATAACGCGTGCCAGGCATATGACCTATGTATTGCGGTTCTGAAGTGAGAAATGTATCGAGGTCGAGGTGTCGTCGTGCGAAGTGAGCAGTCCGACGTTTATTCATGGTGCGGAAAGCACCCTGAAACCCGGCTGATCGTGAGCTTCTCTTGACGATGACCGGTGGTTTTGTCTAAACCGTTGTCAGTGGTTTGTGGTGTCCGTTCCATTGTCCCACCCCCGTTTTGCTGTCCTATCCATTGTCCTGTCCTTTATTTTATCATCCTATCCATTATCCTGTCCTTAGTCATCCTGTCTTGTCCTTGTCATGCCCTGACTTATTTATTCTCCTGTCCTCGTGTTGTCTTATCCATTGTCCTATCTTTATTTTGTTGTCCTATCCATTGCCCTGTCCTTGTTGTGTTGTCCTATCTGTTCCGTCAATACTTATGCTCAGCAATTAGTGTGCAGAGTGTCTTTGCGAATCTTGCGGAGCAAATGACTGATGCTGCAGCTGGTGAAGACCATCGGATATGGTGTAAATTTGTGACTTAGATCACCTGATAGCACGATTTAACTCCTGTCCCTCTTCGTATGCATGCTGACGTTGCACCATTGAATTAGTTCCGTTCTGCGGATTCCCTTCCAAGTTCACTGGAAAATAGCAGCGCGCACGACTGCGGACCTGCCTGGAGTATTTTCGCGGCCTTTTGGGACGGGTCGTCCGATAGACCCCAGCCTGCCGGGCTGGCCCTGTCGCTCGTTCAGCCGCGCGCGCCTTGCGCCGGCTAAATGCATCGCGGATTGTATGAATTATGCAGCGCTCGCTGGTGCCCTGGTGGGGACCGGCCAAGATTGCGCGCCGATTGTCCCGCTCGTGCTGCCAATTAGCTGGGTTTGGGCGCCGGGCACGGCTGGAGGCGGCCGGGGGCGGTGTCTGACGGGAGAGTGGCACCACTGACGCTAAACGACAGCGGCCTCTCAGACCAGATCGCAGATGTGGCCGGGCGATGGGAGCGATTGGAACATCTGTACGGCATCGTTGGGGACAAATCTGTTCTGGGCAAGATATGGAATGGCTTCTTTGTTGGGAGATAATATTGGATTTCTGAGAAATCGGGAAGATGGATGTTGAAAGATTGACGTTAAGGGATATTGGCATAACGGGCAAGAGCCTTGCCATTTGTCAGATGCACCGCAGTGAAATGATACCGGTGACGCTGAGGACTTCCTTTCTGGACTCTCCAGTGTTGGTCCGTTATCACATCCCGTATTGTAGACGCCTCGCGGTCCGTATTGTTACATTCGGCTTCAGTAATGGAGAGATTAAATCACTAAGCACCGTATCGGTCAGTTCCGTCATGGAGCAATATCGGGACCACAAGATTCCGTCTGTCTTCAAGATCCGGAAAGTCTCGTATGTTAGTGTTCCCAATGGCTCATCCAGAATTAAGATAGGCAACAGAAGCATCCTCTGTTTGGCCCCCAACTATGTCATTAATCCCATAAATGTTGACTAACTGCCTATGGGGATCTGCTGAGTTTTCAAGCCATGTTAGCGCTACAGAAGCCGGCGTCCTCGGTCTTTGCGTCAGCACAAGTCAGCGGCGCTCCGCCTCTGCACGTGCTGCCTGCGGGCTGGTGTCGCCTTCTCCCGCGGCGTCGGCCAGACTCCAAACGGCTGTATTTGTTTGCTTCGCCGTGGCCTCACCCTCCACCGACTCAGAATTCCTCGGCCGTTGATCGTGTTTCTTTCCTGCGACGCCGCCGCATCGATGGTCGGCGCCGGCCGGCCGGCCGGCAGGCAGCGCCGGGTCGGCGCCACGCTCGGTCCGCGGGCGCATCCCTCGGGAGCTCCAGAGAAGTAGGGCTTCCCATATCGTGCGCTTAAAATGGCGTGCGCGTGGCCCGCCTGAAGTGCATCAGCGCCCGCGACGTCTGGAATTGAGGCGTGTCACGGGACTGGAATGCAATCGTGTGCGGGATGAGCGCGCAAAATAGACATGCCCTATGGCCACAGGTGTCCGGGTAGATTCGCTGGCACACTTCTGCGCACCACAAGAAGTAACCATAGCAACAGCTGTTCGCCGTGGCGTTGAGGCGGAGCGGCAGATTATGGACAGCTGGCTTTTGCACTAGCGTAACAAAACCCTGTGACGCCACGCCGTTTTGTGTCTCTTGATTGTGTGATTGACATTTTGTGACTCATGTTGTGGCATTGTCTACCGAACCGCGCTGCCGTCCAAAGATAAAACCCCATATTCATTTTTGACCATATTGGCGCTTTTATGTCATTGATTCATCTACCCATGCTGATTTCGGTTATTTAGACGGTCCGTAGAAAATTTTCACAAACGTTTAGCCCGTTCTCGTAGCATTCTTTCACTTTTGAACGGCAGCGCGGCTGTAGCGAGCGGCGGCGGGGGCGGTGGCAGTGTCGCTGTGCCGCGTCCGTGACCTGGCCAGCTGAGCTCGGACCGGGCTGCGCTCGGTCGGCGGGCCGAGCCCGGCGGTGGCCCGGGTCAGCGGCGTGATAGTGTTTTGTCTGCCGAGACAACACGGCCATTACTGTCTGCCGCCGGAGGACGGAATCCTGTAGCGCACCGTGCTTCAGTCGGGCTGATGATCGGATCTGTCTGGAGCAGAGGAGATAATCGGATCTAGCTGGGGCAGAGGAGACGATCGGATCTGGCTGGGGCAGGGGAGACGATCGGATCTGTCCGTGGGAGAGGAGACAATCGGATCTGGCTGGGGCGGAGGATACGATCGGATCTGGCTGGAGCAGAGGAGACGATCGGATCTGTCTGGAACAGAGGAGACGATCGGATCTGGCTGGGGCAGAGGAGATAATCGGATCTGGCTGGGACAGAGGAGACGATCGGATCTGTCTGGGGGAGGGGGGACGATCGGATCTGGTTGGAGCAGAGGAGACGATCGGATTGGCTGGGGCAGAAGAGACGATCGGATCTGGCTGGGGCAGAGGAGATAATCGGATCTGGCTGGGACAGAGGAGACGATCTGATTTGACTGGGGCAGAGGAGACGCTCGGAACTGGCTCGGATCTGGCTGGAGCAGAGGAGTGCGACTCTCTACCTGCGGTCCGTCTGTAGCGATTGGGAGTGTCGTGTCTGCGCGGATGGATGGCTGACGATGTGCTGGGGTGATGGCCTCGTATGGCGGCGGCCGGCTGGTGGGCTGTTGCCTAGCGGTCATAAGTGGTGGCCGCTGGCTGGGGGAGTGTGTCCGTGGCTGGTGTGTGATGACGGCCGACGGGCGGAATCTGTCGGCGGCAGCGGCGCCTGTGGTTGGCGCGCGATGTCCGCTGGCTGGTGACGTTCGGCCGGGGGCTGCCGAGGGATGTCCGTAAGTCCCAGCGGACAGTCGACTGACGCCGTCTCCGTTGCAGGGTGACTCGCCATTCGGCAGGCAGGAGGCCTACTTGAAACTCAACCAGCTGGGCGAGGGTTCCTACGCCACCGTCTTCAAAGGCTACAGCAAGTAAGTCGCGCGGGTTCACAGGCCCACATCTCGCCCGAGAGACGTCACTCCAAATCCGCTAAAGAAGTCAGAGAGAGACCCAGTCGTCTGTTGGCCTCCCTCCCTCCTCCGCCGTCGCCTGTCCGTGCCCCACCCCCGGCGCCGGGAGTCAGCACACAGCGGGCGCCCGTCCAATCTGCCGGCGGCCGTTTATTCGCGCGGCGCGCGGCCGTGGCCGGGGCGCGGCGTCCCCATTAGCCGGCCGGCCCGGACGGCAGCGGGGTGGCGCCTGATGGCGCGGCGGCGCTCGGCGGCCGGCGGGCCGTCGGGCCGCGGAGACGGCGCCAGTGTTGCCGCCTCATCACGTCCACGGCGGCGCCGACCGGCCCCTGTCGGCGGTGTCGTGCCTCCGCTGCCGGACGTCGACACACTGGGCCGGCGGGCGGGCTCGTTACGGGCGCGGAGGGCGCCGGACGCTGCCGCGGCGTCTCCGGCATCCCGGCGTGGCGCTTTGTCGTCGACCTCGCTCTCGCCCTGCCCTGGCTGGTCGTCTCGCCTGGCGCCACGGGGCAGGTGTCTGTCGGGTCGTGCTGCGGCAGCCTGGCTGTGCAAGTCGGAAACCAGATGTCCCTAGCGTTTATGTCGGCTGGGGAAGGTGCGCTTTTTCTGCGCTGGGAGTGGTAACTTAGCGGTCGACGCTTTGAGGGAGTGTCCCACCTTTGGGACATATTTCAAAAACACACGAGTAAAACCTCAGAGCTAGTTATGTCAAATAGTACCACTGGGTAATGCCACTGCGGCACCGTCAAAGCATAATAAAGATATTAAATTTAGTTAATTTCTCGAAGGTGGTTAAAATGTACTATCGCGATGCGCATCGCGTGCGAAATGCGTGTTTTTTGGTGGGCGGACGGGAGGCATCGCTGCTGTTGAGAATGCGAGTGACTCATGGATCGCTGCTAATGTGCTTCACCAGTTTCCATGTAGCGAACTACTTCACCGATCTTGGCGACGGCCCTCTGCTGCCAGAGCACTTTCTGCCGGTTAGTCTGTGGTGTATGCCCCCATCCAGCCTCCGTCCCTGGCGGCGTGACCCACTTGGCCGGTTCAGGGAAGTGGCCGGCTCGTTGCCGTCCACGTCTGCGGCGGCGCGGCGCCGCTCCAGGGCGCGTTCCCAGTGAGACGCCCCCTGACCGGAATGACCCAGCTTCGGGGAAACGCTCGGGCGCGCGCGCGCGTCGCGTTATCGTCCGCTCTAAATCACGGGTCGTTTTGCTGGCAAAAACAGACGGCCACGCTCGAGAAATGGCGTCGGCCGGCGCCTGCTGAAGACAGCCGCGCGCCGCCGTCCGTCACACCATTGTGTCCGGTGTGCGGGCGAGGGGCGCGTGCCGTCACCGACCGCTCTCGTCTTGAGAGGATCTGTGCCGGCCCAGAGGGTGGGACAGAGCCGGACTGGACCCCGGGCTGGCGGCGCCAGCGGCTGAATATCGCCCTAACGAGCCGCTCCCAGGCCCCGTGTTTTTGCTGGAAGCGCTGATTGCCGGAGACCCGAGTTACGGCTCGAATTCGAAATGCTATTATAAGCCAGTGGATTTTCTGAAGGCTCTTGATGATGTCGTTTATGTCATACTGCGTTCGAGCCCTAGAGGAAGGGTGTTGACAAGATCGCGGCGTATGAAGCCGGACTGATCCAAGTGCCCGCGCGTCAGACAGCGTGCGAGTTCCTGCACGAGTCGTGAGGGCCTTTTGCGGGGGTGGCTGCGCATCCTGTATGTGTCGTGCGGGTTAACTTCCGCAGACTCGTGTCTATCCCACTGTGAGAGGTCCACCGGACTCGCGTCGAGAATCAGCTTGTCTGACTCAGGTACCCCTGAATCCGTCGCCCATGTCCTCCAGGGAAACGTCAGGTGTAGTAGTCGAACCCTCGCCAGGACAGCGGGCTGGTGCAGCCACTCTCCGGGCTCGTGCAGGCGTCTCCCGAGACGCTCGTCGCACCCTGAAGGAATTCCGAGCAGTTGTGCTGTACATTGGTTCACCTGACATGCCAGCTGCACGTTCGCAACGCGTCAGCCGAGTGGCGTCGCACGCCCCCGTACCTTGGCTGGTGTCGGTGCAGTGCTGGTGCGAATTTGGTAGAAAATGTTGAATTTGTATGCCGTGTGCCATTTTGCCATGTTAGTTCGCAGAACTTGACGTGGGACTTCGGCGCAGAATGGGCTCGCTAGTCGTGACGTCCAATATCCTCAGCGGAAATTGAAAAAGGAGGAATGCTTAAGGTGTTGGTGTTGTTTGATGTCTCATCTTATCTCGTTCTCGTGGGAATGGACAGTTACTAAAAAGCTGGCAAGAAGTCGTGTTTGCAAGACATTGTTTGAAATTGCCTTGTTTACCACCATCCTTTGAAAGGAGCTTTTGTATTTGGTTGCCTGGATGTTTAGTTGCCTCCTTATGTTTCCCTCAGCAGCGATTACCGCAAGTGTTTCCAGCGATGAACACACTGTTGTTTCATTTCGATACGGGGTGGGCGATGATGAGTCACATCATTCCATATTTTCACAGCGGCACTTCTCCCAAAACGAAGTCCATTACGGGTCGTCGAGTGGCCCCACACTTTCAGTCCATAACAAGCTGATCCTTGTCTCCTTTCCGTGCGACTCTTGGGTCGGTGGGAACGTTGGTTGGCTCGTTTGAGTCAGTCCGAGGCCAGGCGTCCGCCCTCCCCTCGCTCCTGAACGTCCCACCACACGGTCCCAGCCGGCCGCCTGGAGCATCTCTGCCGGTGCCGCGGCCGCGCGCCGCCCCGACATGGGCTGGTGGATAATTTTCCGGCCGGGCGGCCGTTACCCGCCGCGAGAGCGTTGGCGGAGGGTCGATTGCCGCCAGGTTCCCTCTGTTGATGTTGCTGACGGCGAGGCATTCATTACATCAGCTACTTTCTGACGGTCGACGCACGCTAATCCAGGGCCGGCAGGGGCAGGACGCGACCTCGCAGACAAAACCCGCGGGACGATCGGCTGCGGTGAGTGACGGTGAGTGATGCCGCTCCACTTTAGCCTGTCCTGTCCTGTCCTGTCCGGCCTGTCCTGTCCTGTCCTGTCCTGTCCTTCCTGTCCTGTCCTGTCCTGTCCTGTCCTGTCCTGTCCTGTCCTGTCCTGTTCTGTCACGTCACGTCACGTCCTGTCCTGTCCTCTGTCATCCTGGGTCTTGACTTCTCTCGCCTCACCTCGCCTCGCCTCGCCTCGCCTCGCCTAGCTTCGCCTCGCCTCGCCCCGCCTCGCCCCGTCTCGCCTCGCCTCGCCTCGCCTCGCCTCGCCTCGCCTCGCCTCATCTTGCCTTCCATTGCCTCATATCGCCTTACCATGATTTGTTAATTTATCTTGCCTTTCCTTGCCTTGCTCCAACTCTTTCTACTCCACATTACTGTCCTCTTGTAGGTCCCTGGTGCCACCTATGTCCAGCAGCAGCATAGCTCCCGGCTACTGGACATTCCAGCGACAGCGAGCAGCCAGCTGCCTCCTCTCGGCCTGTGTCGTGAATCACACATAAGAGGAGAACCCACTCCGTGGCGGCTAAACTACCGGCGCCCGCGTGGTGGTGTGGGAAGGCGGCGCCGGGCGACGCTCCTAACTGCGGGCCACAGACGGCACAGGACGGCGCTGCAGCTACGGACCACAGACAGCACATCATGCGCCAGGCGGCGCTGCAGCTACGAACGACAGACAGCACATCCTGCGCCAGGCGGCGCTGCAGCTACGGACCACAGACGGCACATCCTGCGCCAGGTGGCGCTGCAGCTGCGGACTACAGACGGCACATCCTGCGCCAGGCGGCGCTGCAGCTACGGACTACAGGCGGCACATCCTGCGCCAGGCGGCGCCGCAGCTACGGACTGCAGACGGCACATCCTGCGCCAGGCGGCGCTGCAGCCGCGAACCACAGACGGCACATCTGCACGCCGTCTCTCTCAGCCGCCTGGACGTATTCTGGTGATCGCCTCGTTGGATATGCCACCGCGTTTGGTGGCGGGTGGAGGGTGCCGCGCGGCCGGGTGCACCAGCTGGTGTTACAGTTCGGGTCGGCGGCGCGCTCGATCGGCCGCCCGGCTACGTGATCTGTTTGCGTCCAGTGCATAAGCCCGTATTTGTTTCGAGCGCGAGCCTGTTTGCGCTGGAGTGGCCGGCTGGAACGCGGCTGGGACGTCGCCAGGTCACCGGTCGATACCGGCGGCGGCGGCGGCGGCGGTGCACGCCGCTGCCGCCTGACCCCGAAGGCGGGCCGGGTCAGAGCTGGGACGCCGGGCCGGGCGCGCCTCACGGTCGGCCGACGCGGCGGGCCGGGCCGATCGATTCCCGGCGACGCCGCCGAGAGCCGGCGCGAGCTGGCGCCGCTCGCCGCCGTACGCTGTGCAGTTTCGGACGTGTGCATCAAGTAGCGAGTTGAAAGCTGTTCGAATAGACGTATCTGAATGGGCTGTTTTCAGACACGGCGATATTGAGCGGCATGCACGGCGTGCTCAGAAGCGCTGCACGCCTTACCCAGGACTGCTGGTGGTGATTCATGTCCGAACGGCGGCACTGCGCTGAGCACCGCACGCCTTACCCGGGACTGCTGGTGGTGATTCATATCCGAACGGCGTCACTGCGCTGAGCGCTGCACGCCTTACCCGGGACTGCTGGTGGTAATTCATGTCCGAACGGCGTCACTGCGCTGAGCGCTGCACGCCTTACCCGGGACTGCTGGTGGTGATTCATATCCGAACGGCGTCACTGCGCTGAGCACTGCACGCCTTACCCGGGACTGCTGGTGGTGATTCATATCCGAACGGCGGCACTGCGCTGAGCACCGCACGCCTTACCCGGACTGCTGGTGGTAATTCATGTCCGAACGGCGTCACTGCGCTGAGCGCTGCACGCCTTACCCGGGACTGCTGGTGGTAATTCATATCCGAACGGCGTCACTGCGCTGAGCGCTGCACGCCTTACCCGGGACTGCTGGTGGTAATTCATATCCGAACGGCG